AACATCCCCTAATTATTAGAACGGCAACCGATCAGTCCTTGCAGCTCGATTATGTAAGAATAAGAAAATCAGTACTCTACTCTCACTATAAATACTTTCATTCATCACCTACAATGGAATGCTATCTGAATGACACTATCCCCCTAACCTTAAAGAGAATCATTGTACAAGTAAGAAGCCTTTTTGTAGTACAGAGAATTAATCATGTTTCACTATTGAAAACTAAGACCATAAAATGCACCTTATGCAACGGTGAATTTAGTCTCGATTTTCCACACTACATGTTCTACTGTACGGCAATGGAAGAAGAAAGAAAAATTCTTCGTCAAGAGACCGGCTATAATAGCAATTCGCCTTATGTTTTAATGGCAAAAGTCGTAAAATCCAGACCCTTTGCATTCGCTTTTTATAAATACTGGAAATCAGCTCAATCAAAATATTTAGCACAGACACCGAATCCAACTCGATAATTGGTCGAGGCCAATACCCAATACTTGTATATAACTACGATTCTAATCTGTTATTTATTTATTTTGTCCTATAGAGAGAATCCTGTATGGCACGTGTGCCCAATAAAGGCTATTGTTGTTGTTGTTGTGTTTCTCAAGCTTTCGGGCTAACATGCTCTTCAACACGGAGACCCAGAAGTACTCTGTTGAAGGGAATGTTAGTCCAAAAGCTCGAGAAATAAAAGAATTGTAAAAAGAAACCCTAGATTCCTTATTGCATTTGGAAAAATATCTGATTATATTTGGTTAAAACATATAAATTTACTGATTGGGTGTATCCATATCCGACACGGCACATTTTAAAGTGATAGAAAACAGAAAAAAAAAACGCTTACAGTACATAGCTAATTAGAACTTTGCAGCAATGGATCAACCGACAATGTGAGAAAGGTGAAAAGCTTCTAGAATAGTTACATACTCTGAGAGTTACTCTAAATACAATAACAAATTGCAAACGGGCACTTTAATGACAAAGCTTCTTTAACGACCATATTTACTTAGCTATCACATTTCTTGAACGGTCAAGCTTCTTTAACGATCAAATTCTTTAGCTATTACGTTTATTGAACGGCCAAGCTTCTTTAACGACCACGTTCTTCAGATATTACGTTTCTTGAACGGCAAAGCTGTTCAACGACCACATTTACTTAGCTATCACGTTTCTTTAACGGCCAAGCTTCTTTAACGACCACATTTACTTAGCTATCACATTTCTTGGAAGCGAAGTTTCTTTAACGACGCCATTTCTTTAACCATATTTACTCGTAGCTACCACACGTCTTGAGAGGTTTCGTTTCTTCAAAAAGTTTCTTTAACAAGACCAAGTGCTTAGGCGACAAAGCTCATTAAGCGATTACGCTTTTTACAATTTTCTTTAAGTGACATTTCAAATAATAAACTACTCTATAAACCAGTTTTCAAAGGACCAGTCTCTACAAATTATTGTGAATAAAGACATCGCTTCATTGAAAACTGGATTTATCATCTATATCTACATTTTATTCCACTTTCCTGCTCGATTTAGCATAGCAGTTTTTATATTAAAAAGGCAGGAGTTATAAAACTTAAAACTTTAATAAAACACTTTCGATAAGTTTTAAAGGTCGGGGATCAAGAGTAACTATAAAAAGTTTATCTTGATCTATTAAAATAGAAAAAAAAATCTATCTGTTGATATCAATTAATATGTATTGTGTATTTGAAATTTGAGCAATCCACATATTCAATTATTTAAAATTGCTTACTTTGGATCATATATTTAAATTTTCCAAGATTGTCGAATGGTAACTCGCCAAACTTCTTCGGGGAACAGAATGGTTTCGAGATGCTCGCGTATAAATTCACGAGTATGTTCAACTGCAGATTGTAAGTTTTAGTAATTTTAAATTTTACAGCAGTTGTACATACTCGTGAATTGATACTCGAGCAACACAAAACAATTTTGTTCCCCAAAGAAGTTTGGCAAGTTGCCATACGAAATATTCGGAAATAAAATTTATGGTCCAAAAAAGGCGGCATTTTAAAATAATTGTTTATCTATATATTTGGATATTATATCCATTGATAAATTGCGTATACCACGAATCTATCGAATTTACACCTCTTTCAAGTTCAACAAGAAATTACTCAAATTGGTTAGGTACTAACAATTATATATATATACAATGAATAATTTAGATAACAATTTTCAAACATATTTATTTGCTTTCAAGAGCAGACTGGTTTCCTGAACGTTGTCTTCTCTTTTTCGATCCAGGAGGTATAGGTACTTGAATATATTCTGCTATATTAGTTTCTTGAAGATGCATCTGGCATTGGTAGATAATAGCATCATCTTTCGAATCTTTATAGAGGTCCACGTTCCCTTTGTAATGGACAACAGCATTAGCAATGGCATTCACAACGCCATAATCCAATTTGAGCAAGTGCAGCTGAAGATAGGCATCGTCTGCTTCAGCCATATAAGCATTTAACGCTTTATGCCATCGTTCCCAAAAGGCTTCAAGTATAGCAAGAGCATCGTCTCGAAAATCCAAATGAACGAAACGACCTTTTGATAGAAGTTGGGAACATCTAAAATAAACTCTCACCATGAGCATGATATCCTTTAAATAATTATGAATTGGTTTTTTTTGAGCTTCTTTCTTCTCATCGTCATTTTGGGGAACATCTTCTTTTTCATCACCCATCTTGAGGCAAACTCTCTTTTGAATTACTGACTCGTGAAGAATGAAGTGATTTGATTTTTTTTTTTTTTTTTAAATAGCTTGCATGTTTTACATATTGAAGTAAAGTTGGATGTTTTTTAAAAGGTTTCTATAGATATTATTTATAGAAATTTGTATGTTTGAGTATAAGAATCAAAAGATTTTTTTAAAAATTTACTATTTCATAACATTTAAGATCGATTTTGCATATTTTATACAAAATTTTAAGAATTTATTTTGTATATGTATATACATTTTTCTTTTAAAATTATTGATATAATTTTAAGAAATAGGCAAAATGGGTGAAAGTAATTAATTAATATTTGTTGCTTTAGGATTTAATTTAGTATCCATATATATAATAAACTAACAGAGATTTCAGTTTTAAAGTTTTAAAAAATCTCCTCAAAAGATGCTGAACTACATATAGCGATCTATATACCAATATTTTCGTTATATTTACTTCATGTCTGTTACACTTATTTTTATTATCCAAATGTAAGTTGTTATATTTATTTTTAATTTATTCAATTTTTTAATCGTAGAAATTTTGCTTGAACATGTAATAATGGTTAGTAGGTAGATACAACAATGGTTGCTAGAAAATGGAAACAATGAAAATGTAGAAATGGCTGTTGGGTAGTGACAATAATGAATATGTAGGAATGGTCGTTGGTAGGGACAACAATGGACATGTAGAAATAGTTGTTGGGTAGTGACAACAATAGACATGTAGAAATTATTGTTGGGGAGTGTCAACAATGGACATGTAGAAATGGTTGTTAGGTAATGGCAACAATTGACATGTAGGAATGGCTGCTAGGTAATGGCAACAATAGACATGTAGAAATTGTTATTGGGTAATGACAACAATGGACGTGTAGAAATGGTTGCACCAATAAAAGATACTCGTCTTCCTTCACCATGTTTTTTATCGTCTAAAGTAAAGACAACAATGGACATGAAGGAATGGTTGCTCGTAATGACAACAATATGCATTTAGAAATGGTTGTTGGGTAGTGACAACAATGGACATGTAAAAATGGCTGTTGGGTAGTGACAACAATGGACATGTAGAAATGGTTGTTGGGTAGTGACAACAATGAAAATGTAGGAATGGTTGCTAGGTAATGGCAGCAATGGACATTTAGAAATGCTTTTAGGGAGGTGACAACAATGGACATGTAAAAATGGTTGTTGGGTATGACAACAATGTACATGTAGAATGATTGTTGAGTAGTGACAACAATGAACATGTAGAAATGGTTGATGGGTAGTGACAACAATGGACATGTAGAAATTGTTGTCGGGTATTGAAAACAATGGACATGTAGAAATGGTTGCTAGGTAATGGCAACAATAGACATGTAGGAATGGTTGTTAAGTAGTGACAACAATGGACATGTAGAATTGGTTCTTGAGTAGTGACAACAATGGACATGTAAAAATAGTTGATGGGTAATGACAACAATGGACATTTAGAAATAGTTGTTGGGTAGTGACAACAATGGGCATGTAGAAATTGTTGGTTAGTGACAACAATGGACGTGAATAAGTTGGTTGTTGAGTAGAGACAACAAAGGACATGTAGTAATGGTTGTTGGGTAGAAACAACAATGTACATTTAGGAATGGTTGCTCGTGATGAAAACAATAGGCATTTAGAAATGGTTGTTGGGTGGTGACAACAATGGAGATGTAGAAATTGTTGTTAGGTGGTAACAACAATGGATATGTAAAAATGTTTGTTGGGTAGTGACAACAATGGACATGTAAAAATATTTGTTAGGAAGTGACAACAATGGACATGTAGGAATGGTTGTTGGGTAGTGACAACAATGGACATGTAGAAATGGTTGTTGGGTAGTGACAACAATGGACATGAAGAAATAATTGTTGGGTAGTAACAACAATGGACATGTAGGAATGGTTGTTCGAATTGACAACAATGTGCATTTATAATAGGTTGTTGGGTAGTGACAACATTGGGCATGTAGAAATGGTTGATGGTTAGTGACAACAATGGACATGTAGGAATGGTTGCTAGGTAATGGCAACAATAGGCATTTAGAAATGGTTTTTGGGTAGTAAGAACAATGTACATGTAGAAATTATTTAAAATACAATATAACGCGGCTGATGATTGTAAAACGAAAATTAAAATTATACCGCGAATGTTTCTTTTAAAAATCGAAATTTATTTTCAAAGAGAAATAGCGACATTTCTAACTTTGAGGATGAGGTATGGAAAGGTGAAACATGAAGAGTAATGGAGAACGGAAAAATAAAAAGTGTCCAGGGGCTGGAATCTGCCCGGTAAGCAGAAGGTTGTGGGTTCGATTCCCGCCCCTGGACACTTTTTATTTTTCCGTTCTCCATTACTCTTCATGTTTCACCTTTCCATACCTCATCCTCAAAGTTAGAAATGTCGCTATTTCTCTTTGAAAATAAATTTCGATTTTTAAAAGAAACATTCGCGGTATAATTTTAATTTTCGTTTTACAATCATCAGCCGCGTTATATTGTATTTTAAATGTTACTTTAAATATAAGTTATGAACGGAAAAATACGTCCAGGGTAGCCGAGTGGACAAGGCACCTGCCCGGTAAGCAGAAGGTTGTGGGTTCGATTCCCGCCCCTGGACACTTTTTATTTTTCCGTTCTCCATTACTCTTCATGTTTCACCTTTCCATACCTCATCCTCAAAGTTAGAAATGTCGCTATTTCTCTTTGAAAATAAATTTCGATTTTTAAAAGAAACATTCGCGGTATAATTTTAATTTTCGTTTTACAATCATCAGCCGCGTTATATTGTATTTTAAATGTTACTTTAAATATAAGTTATGAACGGAAAAATACGTCCAGGGTAGCCGAGTGGACAAGGCACCTGCTCGGTAAGCAGAAGGTTGTGGGTTCGATTCCCGCCCCTGGACACTTTTTATTTTTCCGTTCTCCATTACTCTTCATGTTTCACCTTTCCATACCTCATCCTCAAAGTTAGAAATGTCGCTATTTCTCTTTGAAAATAAATTTCGATTTTTAAAAGAAACATTCGCGGTATAATTTTAATTTTCGTTTTACAATCATCAGCCGCGTTATATTGTATTTTAAATGTTACTTTAAATATAAGTTATGAACGGAAAAATACGTCCAGGGTAGCCGAGTGGACAAGGCACCTGCCCGGTAAGCAGAAGGTTGTGGGTTCGATTCCCGCCCCTGGACACTTTTTATTTTTCCATTCTCCATTACTCTTCATGTTTCACCTTTCCATACCTCATCCTCAAAGTTAGAAATGTCGCTATTTCTCTTTGAAAATAAATTTCGATTTTTAATAGAAACATTCGCGGTATAATTTTAATTTTCGTAGAAATTATTGTTGAGGTGACAACAATGGACATGTAGAAATGGTTGCTAGGTGATGGCAACAATGGACATTTAGAAATGATTGTAGGGTATTGACAACAATGGACATGTAGAAATGGTTGTTGAGTAGTGACAACAATGGACATGTAGAAATGGTTGTTGAGTAGTGACAACAATGAACAAGTAGAAATGGTTGATTGGGTAGTGACAACAATGGACATTTAGAAATAGTTGTTGGGTAGTGACAACAATGGACATGTAGAAATTGTTGTCGGGTATTGAAAACAATGGACATGTAGAAATGGATGCTAGGTAATGGCAACAATAGACATTTAGAAATGATTGTTGGGTATTGACAACAATGGACATGTAGGAATGGTTGCTAGGTAATGGCAGCAATGGGCATTTAGAAATGCTTTTAGGGTAGTGACAACAATGGACATATAGAAATGGTGGTTGGGTAGTGACAGCAATGGACATGTAAGAATGGTTGTTATGTAGTGACAACAATGGACATGTAGAAATGGTTGATGGGTAGTGACAACAATGAACATGTATGAATGGTTGCGAGGTAATGAGAACAATGGGCATTTAGAAATGGTTTTTGGGCAATGACAACAATGGACAGGTAGAAATTATTATTGAGTAGTGACAACAATGGACACGTAGAAATGGTTGTTGGGTATTGACAACAATAGACATGTAAAAAGAGTTGATGGTTAATGACAACAATGGACATTTAGAAATGGTTGTTGGGTAGTGACAACAATGGACATGTAGGAATGATTGTTGAGTAGTGACAACAATGGATATGTAGGAATGATTGTTGAGTAGTAACAACAATGGACATGTAGAAATGGTTGTTGGGTAGTGACAACAATGGACATGTAGAAATGGTTGTTGGGTAGTGACAACAATGGACATGTATAAATGGATGTTGGGTAGTGACAACAATGGACATGTAGGAATTATTGTTGAGTAGTGACAACAATGGACATGTAGGAATGATTGTTGAGTAGTGACAACAATGGACATGTAGAAATGGTTGTTGGGTAGTGACAACAATGGACATGTATAAATGGTTGTTGGGTAGTGACAACAATGGACATGTAAGAATTATTGTTGAGTAGTGATAACAATGGACATGTAGAAATGGTTGTTGGGTAGTGACAACAATGGACATGTAGGAATGGTTGCTCGTAATGACAACAATGGACATGTAGAAACGGTTGACGAGTAATGACAACAATAGACATGTAGGAATGGTTGTTGAGTAGTGACAAAAATAGACACGTAGAAATGGTTGCTGGGTAGTGACAACAATGGACATATAGGAATGAATTTTGGGTAGTGACAACAAAGGACTGAAGGAATGGTTGCTCGTATTGACAACAATGGACATGTAGGAATGGTTATTGGGTAGTGACAACAATGGACCTGTAGGTATGATTGTTGAGTAGTGACAACAATGGACATGTAGAAATGGTTGTTGGGTAGTGACAACAATGGACATGTAGGTATTATTGCTCTTAATGACAACAATGGACATGTAAAAATGGTTGTTGGGTAGTGACAACAATGGACTTGTAGAAATGGTTGTTGAGTAGTGACAATAATGGACATGTAGGTATGGTTGTTGGGTAGTGACAAAAATGGTCATGTACAAATGATTGCTGGGTAGTGACAACAATGGACATGTAGGAATGATTGTTGAGTAGTGACAACAATGGACATGTAGAAATAGTTGTTGGGTAGTGACAACAATGGATATGTAGGTATTATTGCTCTTAATGACAACAATGGACATGTAGAAATGGTTGTTGGGTAGTGACAACAATGGACTTGTAGAAATGGTTGTTGAGTAGTGACATTAATGGACATGTAGGTATGGTTGTTGGGTAGTGACAAAAATGGTCATGTAGAAATGATTGCTGGGTAGTGACAACAATAGTCATGTAGAAATGGTTGTTTGGTAGTGACAACAATGGTCATGTATAAATGGTTGTTGAGTAGTGACAACAATGGACATGTAAGAATGGTTGCTCGTAATGACTACAATGGACATGTAGAAATGGTTGTTGAATAGTGACAACAATGGACATGTAGGAATGATTGCTCGAAATGACAACAATAAACATGTAGAAATGGTTGTTGGTTAGTGACAACAATGGACATGTAGAAATTGTTGTTCAAGAGCGACTACAATTGACATTTAGGAATGGTTGTTGGGTAGTGACAACAATGGACATGTAGGAATGGTTGTTCGTAATGACAACAATGGACATGTCGGAAAGGTTGTTGGGTAGTGACAAAAATGGACATGTAGAAATGGTTGTTGGGTAGTGACAACAATGGACATGTAGGTATGATTGCTCGTAATGACAACAATAAACATGTAGAAATGGTTGTTGGTTAGTGACAACAATGGACATGTAGGAATGGTTGTTGTGTAGTGACAACAATGGACATGTAGAAATGGTTGTTGGGTAGTGACTACAATGTACATGTAGGAATGGTTGTTAGGTAGTGACAAGAATGGACATGTAGAAATGGCTGTTGGGTAGTGTGAACAATGGACATGTAGGAATGGTTGCTCGTAATGAAAACAATAGACATGTAGAAATGGTTGATGGGTAGTGACAACAAAGGACATTTAGAAATGGCTGTTGAGTAGTGATAACAATGGACATGTAGGAATAGTGGTAGGGTAGTGACAACAAAAGACATGTAGAAATTGTTGTTGGGTAGTGACTACAATTGACATGTAGGAATGGTTGCTCGTAATGACTACAATGGACATGTAGAAATGGTTGTTGAATAGTGACCACAATGGACATGTAGGAATGATTGCTCGTAATGACAACAATAAACATGTATAAATGGTTGTTGGTTAGTGACAACAATGGACATGTAGAAATTGTTTTTGGGTAGCGACTACAATTGACATTTAGGAATGGTTTTTGGGTAGTGACAACAATGGACATGTAGGAATGGTTGCTCGTAATGACAACAATTGACATGTAGAAATGGTTGATATTGAATGGAACAGTTTTTTATATACAGTAGAACTACCTCCATTTAAAGAACAACACCTAATTACAGAGCCAAAGTGTCATTTAGTGAGAGGTGTTCTCTTACTGTAGAGTTGCTAAATAGTAAAAATGGTAATTTTGGTAATGAAAACTGTCCTTTATAAAGAGGTGTCCTATAGGGGGAGTGTCCTCTCATGGAGGTTCTACTGTAATACGCATGAAGGTTATCTTGTTTATTGTATTATCTCATCGCACAAGGAAATAATAATATTTTCAAATCTCGTAATATATTAACCGCAATCATTAACATGTGGCATATGCGAAGAAAAATTGTAAATAGAAAGATTGGCTTTAAAATAACAACACATTAATGACGTGAAACATTTTATTTTACATTTATATATAAATAGAAGCATAGGGCGCCTCTCTCGTCAAAATAAACGTCAAAACTTGACGCCATCTATTGACCGTCGCCGCAAACTAGCTACTCAGGTCGTTGACAAAGCCACAACACCAGCTTTGGCAAACTGAGAAACTTCCACCTAGAGACCAAGGCTTCGCGCAGATGATCCTCGTCAGTCCAGGACGGACTTTATTCCAAGAGATCCACACGGGATCTAATTGAATCTTCACAATCTACCAAAGAGGTGTTTAGTTGGTAAATTGGCTGGACCAAATCTATGGCAAAAATATAGACACGAAGCCGCTAGTTTGCGGCGACTGTCAATAGATGACGTCTAGCTTTGACGGGAGAGGAGCCCTATGCTTTTACAGATCAATTTGCTCCCTGCAAAATTTTAATATTGTTGCACCAGGTTGCGGCTTGGCAGACTCTTCAGCCTGGATTCTCTCCTGTGCTGGGTCTTGCATCTTACCAGAGCGTGTTTCAACCATCCTACAAATTTATAAAAGGGAATAACGAGATAAGTCTTCTTTAAGTAGCCACCAGAATCCTTTATTTATTTTCTC